AAAAATGAAGAGAAAATAATGAATTAGTCAACGCACATTAACCATAGAATAATAAACTATAATTATAGAAAGAAAGATGAGTAAAAGAAAGAAGAATATAAATAAATTAACATGATATTACTGATAATGATGCAATAATAAATAGAAATGGAGAGAATGAAAATAATAAAGAAATAAAAGAAAATATCAATAATGATTGTTTTTACATTTGATCAAATATGAAATGAATAGATAATAACTCTTTTTATATAACAAGTTGAATTGTTTCATGACACTATTCATTGAAAAAATACGAAATAGTATTTTATGATTCTTAAAACACAGAATTTACTTTGACTATGAGAATTTCATTCATTAATTTGTAAACACTGATTTTTCAATTTATGAAAGTCAAAATTCAATGAATTATTCAACCTCATCAATAAATCATCATTGAACTTCTCTTAATAATTCTCAAGATTTGTATAATTCTGTTTACTCTTTAACACTTCAATTTCTCAGTATGAAAATACAAAATTAAAACACAATAATTAATTTTATTAATTTCTTTTTATAATACTACTATTCAATAAATTCTTTCTTTCACAAATAATTTTTGCTAAAAATTATTACAATTAAATGAATTAATAATTTCAAATTCTGACTGAGGTTAATTGTTATTAAAATAAAATAACCATCAAAACAAATATTTATTTTTTTATAAAACGTTATATAAACCAATTTTTGTTTTGAAAAAGAAAAATTAATTTTAGATTTTAACTTGAAAAGAAAGTTATAGTTAATAATAAATAAAAATGATATTAAAAGTTAATATTCAATTCATCAAAAAAAGCAAAAGAAGAATCTTAAAAATCTTATAAAAAGGAAAAAATGGGAGCAGGACTTGAAAAAACCATAAAAAAAGCAGCAGATGACAAAGAAAAGAAATTAACATTTTGTAAAAAAGGAATAAAAAAATTACCACCAAGCATTAACACCGTTACTTCATGTGAATCATTGAACCTTGCCTTTAATGAAATTCGAGATTTACCAATAGAAATTGGAGAGTTATTTAATCTTGAAGATTTAAATCTTAACAATAATCAAATTAAAGAACTTCCAAAACAAGTTACTAACTTACTTAAGTTAAAAAATTTTGCCATTTCATACAATATGCTTACTTCATTGCCAAGTAATTTCTTTATGTATTCTCAATTAAGGTCATTAAATTTAACTCATAATAGACTTTCTGTTCTTCCAAAAGGAATTAGTTATTGTACTCAGTTAGTAGAAATAAGAATGAATTTCAATGAATTTGATTATATCACAAATGAAATTGAGAAATTAGTAAATCTTAAAACCTTAGTATGTACTCATAACAAATTGTCTATGTTACCACCAGGACTTGGATCATTAAAGAGTCTTGATACATTAGAACTATCAAATAATAGACTTAGAACTATTCCATTTACAGTCTGTAAATTAAATCAATTAAGAAACTTCAAACTTTTAATGAATGAAAAGTTAGAAAAAAAATATAAAACTTCTTATGAAACTAAACAAACACAGGCATTTATTAAAGACTGTGGAACAAAAGAATTTGAGGGGTTGTACAAAAAAGACTGTATAGACCATATTGGGTTCTTTGCTAAATGTTTAGGATGTTCAGAGAATGACGCTCATAACTATTTCAAAACAATTAAAGAAGAAGAAGACAAGAAAGCAAAACGAATGGAAGAATTACAAATACTTCAAGAAGAAAAATTCCGTGAAGAACAAAGAGTTATAGAACATGGGGAATTAGTTAAAGCAGGTGAACAACCCCAAATTCATGAAGGAAACACTAACAATGGAAATTCTCAACAAACAGAAGAACAAGTAAAAGAAATTCCAGAAGAAGAAGAAAAACCACAACAAACGAAAGGATCAACGGTTGAATTAATTTAAAGAAAAAAGTAAACATAATAATTGAAAACAGGGTTTTTTATTTAATAACAACTAGGTTGTTATTGGTTTATTTAATGAATAATTTTAAATTTTTGAAGAATTTGTAATACTATAGCAATAACTACAAATAAAATAATAGAAAGGGTTGAAAATAATAAATAACCCAAAGTACCATTATCCATGAGTGTATCTTCTAGTCCCATTTTTGTATTAATGAAAAATTATAAGTTTCATATTGTTAAAGATTTTTATAAAAAGAAAAAAAAAATATTGTTATTAAAAATCATTTAAACATTGGATTTTCTATAACATCTCCTCTTATATAATGTTGTAAAAATTCTTGTAATTTTAATTCATTTAAAATAAATTCACTATGTTTTAATTGACTTTGTTCAAAAGGTTCTGTATATTTATTAAAGTAAATACAAGATGAAGCAGTTAGTGTTGAATTAATATGAACACAAATTCTTCCATTTCTTAAATAAATATATAATAAATCAGGAGATTCTTTTTTTAATTTATGAAGAATAAAACATTCTTGATTATCACAAATAAAGGCACCACAACTTAAACAATATGAGCATTTCATATATTCTTTTGGTAATTCATTACATACACTACATTTTTGTTCTGCAAATTGCCCTACAAAATCTTTAAAATATTTTTGTAATTTAAAATCAAAAATTGGTTGTTTGATATCAGGCAAACTATTAAATGAAAGTTCATCAATAAATCCCATCATTTCATAAACTCCTATTGACACATTAATTTCTTTAATATGAATAATTTCATTTAATAATTTTATTTGATCATTTAGTACACATGTCAATTGTTCAGTAAGTTGTTTAATACTTAGACATTCTTGTAGTTGTTTTTGTATATTCGTTGGTAATATTATATTTTGATAGTGAATGTCATCATCAATACAAACAAATTCATCATGACATAATCCAAGTTGTTTTGCAATACAAGCACAATTCCTTGCTTGTGATATCCAAGCGATACGTTCCATTGTATTTGATTGAGAAACTAAACTAAATAAATAAATTTTTAGAGGATTTTTACATTGTTGATAATAGTCTTCAATATCATAGTGCATTTGATGAATGTCTTGAAATAATTCAGTTTCATAAAAAATAAACCGAGCTAATTCTAACAATGATATTATTATTTGTCTGTCTGTTTCTTTATATAAATAATTTAATTCTGAAGAACATTGTAATGATACTATTGTACCATATAAACAATCAATCACATTTTCTAATATATCGATTTCTTTACTTTTTTCATCATAAAATTCATTAAAAATGCAATTTCTTAATACCTCTTTTCTTGTAGTTTCTTTTCCTTCAATAATAGTTGATTCTTCTTTCTTAAATTCATTTTGATGAGGTAGAAAATGATTAATTTGATATTTACATATTGGGCATACATTTCTTTTATAATGTTGATAACAACTATAATGTACAGTATGTTGGCATCCATTAACATTGCACTTCACTTTAATTCCATTATTCATTTTTCTGATAGTTTCAACTTTTTTATTTTCACTAAAACAAGTAAAAAATCCTACAATATCATTCTTTTTTTGTTGACAGATAACACAAATTTCTTCTTCTTCTTTAACTAATTCTTGTAATTCTTGTTTATCTTTTAGTAATATTTTATTTTGTTGGTTTATCATTCGTTGTTTTATTTGTGCTTGTTTGTCTTTATGGCGTTTTATATTTTTTCTTTGTTCTTTCTTATAATTTTCATATTCTACCTCAAACCCATTTCCAATTTCTTTAACAACTTCATTCATTTCAAATAACTCTTTTTCTTTCATCCCCATTTCTCTTCCAAAATATTTCATATATTCATTTATTTGAACCATTTCTTTATCACTTATTATCAATCTTTCTATTTCATGGTTTGGCTCTGATAAAATATATCTCCCTATTGTGATGGTTTTATTCAATTCTTCAACAACATCATTACATTCAAGAATTAACATAATAATAAGTGGTGAAATATCTTCTAATCTTAATTCAATTATATCCTTAATTAATGAATAAATTAAAACACTTTGAAATAGTATTTTATGAGGCTCATCTTTTCTTAGACTATTAAATTGATACCTATGTGGTAATGGGCTTTGGGGTTGTAATAAACAAGTATTAATAAGAACTTCTTTTTCTGATAATTTTAATAACGGAGTTAAAGGGTCTATTTCTTCTAAATAATGTTTTCTTAATTGTTTACTATCTTTATCATAAACAACATCAAATAAATCATATGTATTGAAATTACGTATTATTACTTTTTTACTTATTTCATTTGGTCTAGTATTACCACTAATAATATGATGTGAAATCATCAATTTTAACATATCTTCATCAGACATATCATTTACTAACTCAAACCTTCTATCTATTTGTATTAACAATGTTAAATAATTCACAACAATTTCTTTCTTGTTGTTAATTTTATGTATTGAATAGTGTTTAATACTTTGAGAATATTCAATCATTTCAAACATGACACAACTTTCTTTAATAAAATATTCTACTCCAACAATAGGAATAAGTAGTCTAACCATTGTGTAATCACTTAAAATTGTTCTTAGATTTGTTCCAGAAACATAATACCAATAAAAAAGCAATACAGTGTCATCATTGTATATATATACTTTATTCTCATAGTCTTGTCGAAATTTAATTGACAATAAACAATATTGAAGAATTAATTTAGCATCTTCTTTTGGGATTAATGGATTAATCCCTTCCTTTATACTTCTAAGATAAATTGAAAGAAAAAATGGTAAAATGAATCCCATAGGAGAACATGGTTGATTTGTTTGATGAGTTCTTACGTCTATACTATCTCCATCAAGCACTATAGAAGGAACTTCTTTAAAATATTTTTGTATGTGTTGAATAAGGATTGCTAATACTTCATTATAAGCAGCATATAAATATTGAATATTAATATTAGGTATAAGACGAGATGTAATTAGATAAAGACAATAAATTTTTTTTAAAACTTCTTGACGAGATTGATTTTGCTGTTCATGAACTTTTGAACATGGAAGTGTTTCAAAACGATTAGATAATGTAGCTAAAAACACTGCAGTTTTAATTACACATGATTTATCAAATGGAGCATCTTGTATTTCATTTGGACAATAAAGAAAAACAGCCCAAAGAAAATCATAAACATTTTGTACTTGTTGCATCGTAGTTGTTGTATTCTGACTAACATAACCATCAAGTACTGATTGGGTAATAGAAATAAATTGTAAATAACGTTCTTTATTAAAGAATAAATATTTATTGTTGTTATCTTTATAAGAACGAAAGATAAAAGTATTACAAAAAACTTCATTCAATGAGTGTTGAGAAAACTCTAATGAATAAATAAAGAGTTTATAAATAATTTCATGGTCAAAATGAATCAAAGTTAAGTCAGTTTGAAATGATGTTAAAATTCTCATTAATGTTGTTGGTGGTTTTGGTGTTGTAAACATCTTTTCATACAAAAATTCATGATAAGTAATCTTTTGTTGATGAAGCTGTTCAACGAGAACAGATGACGAAGGAGAGAATTGTTTTGTTAAAAGCTCTGCAATAATTAAATAAAATAAATCAACTTGCATTAATTTTAAAATAATGTCTCCAATCTTTTCTATTTCTGTAATATTGTTTCTAATTAATTCAAAAACATACACATCAATACACTGAGTCATTTTTTCAGGAAACTCTCGATATTTATCTGGAAGTAATAACCTTAAATTTCCTGTAAATCCCTTCCCATGAAGAGGACAAAATCCCTCTTCTTTCCATTGACTTTCATCACCACAATCACAAGTAAAATTTGACGCTTCAGTAATTGAATAGTCATGACCTTTATGGTCACTGCCATTAAAACACAATGCACATAAACAAGCACCTTCAGTTTTTGAACATGTTTTGCAATGATAAATAAGTGACTTTTGTCCATACCCAACAGAACGACAATGCCTTGTGTGGACAAGGTTTTGACATAACGTTATAGCCGAATCAAGTGTAGTTCCAATAATGTTTTCAACCATTGCCAAAACAAATCAATTCTTTTTATTTATCAAAATTAATTTTTTTTGGTTTTTATTGAAATATTATTATGTTTAATTTCAATTAATTATCATTTTCTTTTTATTTTTCTTGCTCTTTTTATTCAAACAAGTAACTCTAAAATTTCTTTTGGGATCAAGTATATCTTAGTCTAAACATTATTTTATGAATTATAGTCATTCTCCAATTATTTTAGTTTTTATAAACATTGTATTATTATTCTCATTTCTTTATTTATCTATTTTCTTCTTATTTCTTTTTGATTCATTCATTATTCTTCATTTGATTGTTCTATTCCTTGCTTGTTAATATTCTTTTTATATCTTATTTTATTTTATATGTCATTTGTTATAAAATAAAAAGTTATTTTTTTTTTGTTTCATCACATAATTTGTGTTTCTTATCTATTTCATCATGGTTTTTATGATCTGTGTTTTATTGTATATTCATTTAAATATCATTTTGAAGATGTCTTATAAGTTATTATTTTAATATATGATTTAGTGATTCATCAGGTTAATTTTATAATTATTTTTGATGATATTCTTATAAATAACACTGGAATATTAATTAACATGATTTATTAAAAATTCATTGTTATTTTATCATTTATATATAATTATTTATTATTTATCATTGCTTGTTTATATCATTTTATGTTTATCATTTAATATTAATGCAAAATTTGATTATCTTCTATTCTTCTTTTTTATTACTTCGTTCTCTATTTCTAATATTGCTCATTGTGACTATTTATTCATTTCATAAATATTATCTTATTACTATTTCATTATTTCTTTTATTATTCTGTTTTATCATTTTATTTATATAATTCATTACTTCATTTTCACATTTATACTCTTCTTTTTACTCATTTCATTGTCCTTTATTTCATTATTATCTTCTTTTAATTTTCTTTTTTTTATTCAGACAATTGTTCTTCTCTTGTTTTATTACTTGTTTGTTCAATGACTGATTGTTCTCATCATATTCTTTGTTTGTATCTTGTTTATGAAGATATTATTATTAAATTCAACACATCTTTTCATCTCCTAATTATGCTTAATGACTGATGACATTAACCATCTAATCTCTTTGTAAAGCATTTTGATATTTCATCGAATTGTATTTACAAAATATTTACAAACCAAGCAAAATAATAATTTTGAATGGCAAAAAGCACAAAGGATTTAATTAATTTTAACGTAAGTCATAGAAATAAAAAACTACAACTCATTCCAGTTTCATTCTTCTGTTCAAATATAACATGATAAAAACATTGAAATAGTATTTGATTATTGTGAAAATTAAGAAATTGGTGTTTAAACAAGAATCAAAATATATTTTAGATACTAAAAAAAGTTAGTTATAAATAAAATATTACCAAAGAATCGCTAGATATAAATTAGAAAAAACCTAAAAAGAATTTCAACACCATCAATTAATAAGTGAAGAAAGATACTCAACCATTGACTTTTGTTCATCTGAAATGAAGGGATATGTTTTTAGAACTTCAAAGATTGTCTTACAATCCATCATTAAATCGTTGTCACTTCTTTTACTGGCAGCAAATAATATGTCTTCAATAAGTCTCAATGTTAAATCAAACATTTCTTGATTTGGCTCATTCTGTTCGATATTAGAAACTAATTCAGAATATCCAAAGAATTTATTTTCTATAATATCCTCATTTGAACTTAATAAATTTGAATACCATTGAAGTATTCTCTTACTAACATCTTTTAAGGTGAATAACTTTTTAGAAACACAAGGCAAATATTTTTTGTGTGTTAAAGACTCATATGTCTTTATTGTTAAATTTAAAAGATTTTGAACGTCATCCCATGTTGCTCTTTCTTCATATTTATGTGCCATCATCTTTAAAAGAGTTTCCTTGAATTCATTGATATAAGTTTCCAAGTCTAATGGAACACCATTTTGTGTTTGTACCATTTTAACAGTAAGACACAATTGCTGAACAAAGATGTCTTCAGAGTATAAACCTTTTTTTTTTGATTCAATAACTTGAGTCCTTAACTTTTCAGTGTTACATTGGGACATTAAGAAATTAGATAGTGTTATTCCAATAGAATAAATGTCATTAGTCGTTTTGTCTTCAGCCTCAGCCCATTTGTCAGGAAGCATTAATGGAGTATACATTTTAGTTACTCCAGGATTAGTTGGAGAAAGAGCAATTGCAGTACCTAAATCTCCAACAAGAGCTTTACCATCTTTAATAAAGATATTATTTAATTTGTAGTCTCTATTAAAACAACCTAGATTTTTAAAATTAATTGCACACGATAATATATCAATAATATATGATAGTGATTTTTCTGGGTTATTTTGTAATTCAAATTTTGGGGTCTTTAATTCATTTTCTAATGTAGTATCTGCCCAAGTTCTTATTAAATAATATTTCTTTGTACTTTTTTCTTCATAATATCCAACAACAGGAAGTATATTAATTTGGTCATTAACTAAAAAACTCATTCCTTTTTCTCTTTTAAAAACCCATTTAGTATTTGGAAGATCAGTTTTAAATTGTTTAATTGAAACATCTATCTCTTCATTATCTTTAGTCTTTAACTTTCCTTTAAAAATAAATGCAGCTCCTCCTCGACCAACACTTTGAATAGAAGAAGATTTATCATTTGATTCTAAGACAATTTTTGATGATATACTAACAGGTTTTGAGTCAATAACATTTTCAAAAGAAACTTCTTTTCCATCCGTTGAAATGAAAAATAAGTCTTTAGAATTTATTCTAACTCCATGTTTTCTGTTATAAATTTTTTGATAATATTCATGTTGAAGAATATTTTGAATAGAATTCATATGACGTAAGTCAAATAGAAACATTTTAATTTCATTGTAATTAGACTCTTTTCCATTGCACAATTCAACCATTCTTTGTAAATTAAAATAAACATTTTTTAAGTTAATTGGTTTAATATTAGTTTTTGCTGGGTCAAAATCAATGAAAAACCATTTGATGTTGTCAGAATAAAGATTTAAGAAATAAAATAATTCCCCATATGCATAAACTTTATTTCTTTCGTCACTAAGAACAAAGTCTTCTAATGTAATTTCAGGTAGTTTATGTTCATATTTAATAGCTATTTCTAAGATATCACAAATAAGACATTCAAATCTAATTATCTTATTTTCATATTGTAAATTAACATTTGATACTTTAATCTCACTTAATAACGTTCTACTAATCCCTTTGACAATTACATAAATTTCCTGAATTGACTTACCAGAGCCTTTACAAAATGGTTTAATCTTCTCCGGATCTAATTGTTTAAATACATCATCCATATGAGGACTTGGGTAATGCACCCATGATTTAGTATATTTTTCTTTTTCATCTTTAAAATTATGATATTCAAGCTCTTGGTTTTGATTTATACTAATCTTTTTAATTTGTTCTTCAGATATTGACATAAAATTCTTAATTTTTAGTTCTTTCTCAATTGTTTTAATACAAAAAAAATATTAAACGTCATTCAAAACAATTTCAATCAATGTTATCCCCTTTTTTTTTAAAAAGTTATATGTCCTTTTCTACTTGAATTGCCATCACTTTTATTGTTTCCATATCTTTTTCGGTCTTTTTTATCACTTTCAGACTTCTTTCTATCATTTCCATCTCTTCTTCTATCATTTCCGTCTCTTCTTCTTTCTCCTCCATCCCTTCTATCATTTCCAGAACCTTTTCTTCCCCGTTCTTCATTTGGGTCTTTGCTATTTCCAATTCCAACATCATCAGGGAAATAAGCAGGAACAGTAATATTGACAATAGCCTTACTCCATTTTGATTTAGACTTTAACAACTTATTGGCAATTTTTGTTGGTAGATCAAAAAAGACAAAATGGTCTTTATAAACATATACTTCACCCAATTTATCAATTTCAGATGGTTCAAGAGTTTTACCTAAAAGAAATTTGGTACCACTAAATCCAGTTGTTGTTCCTTTAGTTTCCATAAACAAAGTTTTAACACCAGGCTCTCCTTGAAGAAGTGAACGATCAGAATCGTCATTACTAACAGTACTTAATGAAGCAATTACTTTACATAAGACAGTCTCAGCATCTCCAGTTTCTAATAATTTTTTAGAAATATCTCTAAATAATTCAGCAGTTGCATCAGGAATTTCTTTAATTTCTTCTGGTAAATTTCCGCAAGTAACTTCAGCGATTTGAGCCTTTTGTGGAGTTCCAATTCTTTGGAAATGGATTTTAATTCTACTCTCAATTAATTGAAGTTGAGGAAGTTCTTTCCTAGTAAACAAAGTAATTGTAGTTCCTTCCTTTCCTGCTCTAGCAGTTCTACCAGCCCTATGAACATATTGTGGAATATCTTTTGGTACATGAGTCATAATTATCAAATCAACACCACTAATATCAAGACCTCTTGCAGCAACGTCAGTAGCAACTAATACATTAAATTTATTTTCTCTAAAACCATTTAATGTTTGTTCTCTTTGTTTTTGTTGAATATCACCATGTAATTGTTGACACTCAAAAATTGGATTAATAGCAATAGCACAATCTGTACATTCAGCTTTGGTATCACAAAAAACAATAGTTCTTCCTGTTCTACCATATACCCTGATAAGGTCTGCAATAGTTTGTGTTTTAGATTGATAAAAGATTCTACAAGCAAGATGTTTAGCATTCTTTGGAACTTGAGTATTTCCTACTGTAACATCAATAACTTCTGCATCATCTCTTAAATATTTTTCACTGATTTCTTTAACCCATGCTGGCATAGTTGCACTAAACAATAATGTTTGAACCGTACTCTCTTTTGGAACACTTCCATGAACAAAATCCATAATTTGAGTAACTTCTTCTTTAAATCCAATATTTAACATTTCATCAGCTTCATCAAGAACAATTGTTTCTATAGAGTCTAATTTTAAAAATTGTCTATCAAAAAGATCTCTAACCCTTCCTGGAGTTCCAACAATCACATCAACTCCACTTTGTAATTTATTAATTTGTCCTTGAATATCAACACCTCCATATACACAAATAACTTTAAATTTTCCACATGAACATTGTGTAAACTCTTCTGCTATTTGAATAGCTAATTCTCGTGTTGGTGATAAACAAATAACTCTTGGGTTCTTTCCTTTTCTTTCATTTTCAGCTCTTAGTCTTTCCATAAGTGGAAGAGCAAAAGAAATTGTTTTACCACTTCCAGTTTGTGCTTTTCCAACAACATCTTTACGATAATAAATTGGTGAATAAGTAGATACCTGAATTGGAAATAAACTATTAATTCCTCTTTTTTTTAACATTTCTTGTGCTGATTCTGATACTGGTGGATCCATACGATCAAATGAACCAGGGTTATCATCTGGCATAGGAGATTCTGGGATATTTGGTGATGGTGTAGAACCATTAAGTTCTTCATTTATAGGACTACCAGTTTTCGTAACAGGAATTAAAAATCCTTTAAGGGCAGAAGGTTTTTCAATTTGCTCATCATCTCCATCAATTTTTCTATGTTTTCCATTTGAGAGTGATTGTCTTTTCATGTACTTCTTGTTTTAAGAATTTAAAAAACTAGGGTTTGTTTTTCTATTCTTTCACTGAAATTCTATTTTTGTTATTTCTTTTTGAAAAAGTATAACAAAATTTTTATAGAAAAAATCTTTCAAATACTTTCTTATAATTCATTAAATTAAATTTTTTTCTTTAATTCAATACTTCTATTAGTTCTATTAAAACTCCTTACAAACTCTTTATTAAACTTTTCTTTGTTCTCTGAAATTGAAATTTAAAAAGTATTGATCTTAACACTCTTATGATTGTTTAGGCATTACAGATTGTTTTGAAGCTAGTTATATACATAAATTAAACCAGAGCATGAACCAAGCTTCTTTGGATCGACAATAATTGATAATCCCTTTTGTTTAAAGAACCAGATGAATAAGTAATTCAAAGACTAATTTTTCAGTGTTATTCAAATTTTATTTTGAGTTTTCACAAAAATTTTCTATATGTTTTGATTCTTGTTGGTACAAAAACTATTAATATATAATCTCTATTAAGTAAAAAATACCAAAAAAGAATGAAGAGATATTAGTACCTTTGTCATTGAAGAGTTAAAAAAAAAATTAATAATTTTCATATGTTTTAGTTTAATGTTTTATTCTGTTAAAAAAAGATAATGATGATAATACAATGAAATAAATACAAATCATCTAATAACCTATATTTTCAGATACTGTTTTGTGATGATTAATATTTTTCATCTTTTTTCATTTTTATTATTTGCATACTAACATTTTTTTTGATTAATACAATAGTTCAACTCCAAAGACTATCTATATGTTATTATAGAAGAAATGGGTGA